GAGGGGGCGGGGCGGGAGGTGATGGGCAGGTTGTTCAGGGCCTTGTGGGCTGCAGTGAGGACTTGGGCTCTCCTGAGTGAGGTGGGAACCACGGAGGATTCTAAACAGAGGAGGGGCTGACCTGACTCAGGTGTGCACAGGTGGCCGTGGGGGTGAGGTTGGTGCGGACATTTCCTGGGGCCGTCTCTGGTGCCGTTCCCCCAGAGTGACGGGCCGTTGGCCGCCACTGCCCGCAGGCCCGGGTGGAGCGCATGGAGCAGTTCCAGAAGGAGAAGGAGGAGCTGGACAGGGGCTGCCGCGAGTGCAAGCGCAAGGTGGCCGAGTGCCAGCGGAAGCTGAAGGAGCTGGAGGTGGCCGAGGGTGGCAAGGCGGAGCTGGAGCGGCTGCAGGCCGAGGCTCAGCAGCTGCGCAAGGAGGAGCGGAGCTGGGAGCAGAAGCTGGAGGAGATGCGCAAGAAGGAGAAGAGCATGCCCTGGAACGTGGACACGCTCAGCAAGGACGGCTTCAGCAAGGTGGGTGGGGCGGCTAGCACACGTGTGCGGCGGGGCGGGGGGAATGGGGCGCGGGGCGGGGAGCAGGTCTGGAGGCCGGGCGGATGTAGTACCCCACCGGTCCCCCCTCTGATCTGCCCGAAGGCCCAGGCCACCGTGATGCTCATGTCGCAGTCACCACCTCCTCCGTGGACAGGATGGGCGCTGCGGCCAAGGCCTCCCCGGCTGCGCTCCAGGCGCTCCGCGGCCCGGCCCCAGCCCACTCCCCCTCTCGCCCTACCACAGAGCATGGTCAATATCAAGCCTGAGAAGGCGGAGGAGGAGTCGGAGGAGGTGAGGGAGCAGAAACACAAAACGTTCGTGGAGAAGTACGAGAAGCAGATCAAGCACTTTGGTGAGTGCGGCGCGGCGTCCCCGCCCAGGGGCCCTGTTCCCCCAGTCCCCTCCCAGCACCATCTTGCCACCTCCTTCTCGCAGGCATGCTCCGCCGCTGGGATGACAGCCAGAAGTACCTGTCGGACAACGTCCACCTGGTGTGCGAGGAGACGGCCAACTACCTGGTCATCTGGTGCATTGACCTTGAGGTGGAGGAGGTGAGTGGAGCCTGCCCTGGGGCTGGGGAAAGGTGCCACCCTAAGGCAGCTACTTGGTAACTCCATACCTGTTCTCCCTGGCAGAAATGTGCGCTCATGGAGCAGGTGGCACACCAGACCATCGTCATGCAGTTCATCCTGGAGCTGGCCAAGAGCCTGAAGGTGGACCCCCGTGCCTGCTTCCGGCAGTTCTTCACTAAGATTAAGGTAGGGGCCCTGAGCAGCCAGGGGGTTGGAGGCCCCCTCCTCAGGAAACCAGCCCATAGTCCTCGGTGGGAGGGACACGTGTCCACTGGGACTTAAGCTCCTGTTATCAAAGCTTGTACATCAGGAAAGGTCAGAGCTGTGGAAGGGACCAGAAGGGATCAGATCCCAACCAGATTTTGAAAGTGGAGCCCACAGGATGTGCTGAAGGTCTCTGTGTAGGGTGAGAGACAGACTTAAGGACGCCTCCAGGTTTTTCTACATGAGCACTTGGAGGAATAGGGCTACCCTGATTGAGACTGGGGAGACCGCTGTGGAAGGGACCAGAAGGGATCAGATCCCAACCAGATTTTGAAAGTGGAGCCCACAGGATGTGCTGAAGGTCTCTGTGTAGGGTGAAAGACAGACTTAAGGACGCCGCCAGGTTTTTCTACATGAGCACTTGGAGGAATAGGGCTACCCTGATTGAGACTGGGGAGACCAAGGGCAGGGCAGGCCGGAGGGACAGTCAGGAGCTGGGATGTGGCCATGTTGGATTTGAGGTGCCTATGACACCCCCACGTGAGGACACTGAGGATGTGGGTGTCACAGGTCTGCAGTGGAGGGAGCACACAGGTTGGTAGTCGTTAGCATATGAGTGGGAGAGCAAAGACAGAGGGGAGGAGAGGAGAGGCCCAAGCCTTGGGGTGCCCATCCTGTCACTCAGGACCCCAGACCCCGGGGAGCTCTGGGGAGCATCTGAGGCACTGCAGCGGGAAGATCCTGGGCCCCCAGTTGGAGTATCAAGCCCAGGGCCAGTGACCGCTGCCCGCGCCTCGCAGACGGCTGACCGCCAGTACATGGAGGGCTTCAATGATGAGCTGGAGGCGTTCAAGGAGCGCGTGCGGGGCCGTGCCAAGCTGCGCATCGAGAAAGCCATGAAGGAATACGAGGAAGAGGAGCGCAAAAAGCGGCTTGGCCCTGGTGGCCTGGACCCCGTTGAGGTCTACGAGTCCCTCCCTGAGGTGCGGCTCCCCAGTTCCAGGCGGGTGGCAGGTGGGCCAGGGGTCAGTTACAGGGACCTAGGCCCTGACCCCGGCCCCTGTGCACCCCCAGGAACTCCAGAAGTGCTTTGATGCAAAGGACGTGCAGATGCTCCAAGATGCCATCAGCAAAATGGACCCAACTGTGAGTGACCAGCCATGTCCCAGGCCTTTGGGACAAACCGTGTGTCCCCGTCCCCCAACCCCCCCACCTCCCCAGTCCTGTTCTCCACATCTCTGAAGTGGGCTGGTAGAAGTGTCCCTCCTGGGCCTCTCCATGGACTAAGAGGAGGGTCGTATCACCATGCCACATGCTCATGTGGGATTGTTGAGCACCCACTGTGTGCCAGCAGTGCATGTGCCCTGTGATAGGTGGTCATTGTCACTGTGGGCCATTTATGAGCCCAGCTTCAGTTTCCTCATTCAAACTACAGTTTCTTTCTTGATATTAATATTAATTGGCAAAATTTGTGGGGAAGGGGGCAGCTGGGAGGTGTGGTAACCATGTCCTGTTCATATGACTACAGCTCTTGGGCTGGCCAGTTAGCTCAGTTGGTTAGAGCACAGCCTTGTAACACCAAGGTCATGGGTTTGGATCCCTGTGCCAACCAGCTGCCCAAAGCATATAGCTATATAATTATAGCTCTGGTAGACAAGGACTTTGAATCTTAATTAGGCTTTGATTTGACCCCACTCCTGCCACTTGGCTCACTGGTTGGCCATCTTGGTCTTCTCATCTGTGGAATGGGTCCAGTCACAGGACCAAGCCCGGAGTTTCTAGAAGCTTCCATGGGAATAAACAAACATCTAGAACAGAGTTTGCAAACTACAGCTGGCAGGCTCACTGCCTGTCTCTATAAACAAAGTAGGTCTAGAACAAAGGTCAGCAAACTTCTTTTTTCTTTTCTAATTTTTCTTTTCTTTTTAACTTAATTTCTCACTTCACTGGCCACATTTGAAGGGCTCAGTAGCCACACGTGGCTAGCAGCCACCATGGTGGATAGCACAGCTTGTAGACTTTCCCTCCATCGTGGACAGTCCTTTTGGGCAGCCCTGATCTAGAATAAGTAGGAAGCAGGCTTGAGGATGTGCAGGGGACAGGCAGGCCACCAGGTGGTGGCAGTCCAGCCTCACCTGCCATCCCTCTCCCCACAGGACGCAAAGTACCACATGCAGCGCTGCATCGACTCTGGCCTCTGGGTCCCCAACTCCAAGTCCAGTGAGGCCAAGGAGGGGGAGGAGGCTGGCCCTGGGGACCCACTGCTGGAAGCCGTCCCCAAGCCAGGCGATGAGAAGGATGGCAGCGTGTGACCAGCTGCCCTCACCCGCCTGTCTGCAGGCCCCTGTGCCCCCTTTACAGAAAATGAAAATAGACAGCGTCACCCCAGCTCCTGGCTTCTCCACTCTCACTGCTCCCCCTAGCCTGGGGGGCCTGCCCTGCCCTCCCCTCTCAACTGCTCCTGCTCCCCAGCGTTCATCCAAGTCTCTGCTTTGAGTCAAGGGGCTTCACTGCCTGCAGCCCCCCCATCAGCATTATGCCAAAGGCCCCAAGGTCCAGGGAGGGGCAGAGGTCAACAGGCTAGTCCACTGGGTGGGGGGAGGGCAGCAGGCCACCGAGGGGCCTGCTTGGTCACTAGGCTCTGTTTTCACTGTTGGCCTCCTGTCTAGTCTTCGGGTGGGGGGAGGGTCCCCACCGAGGGGCCTGCTTGGTCACTAGGCTCTGTTTTCACTGTTGGCCTCCTGTCTAGTCTTCTGTTTGATAAACAGCAAATGATCTTCCAATAAAGGATTTCAGATGTTTGCTGGGGCCTTTCGGAGGGCTCTTGGCAGAGCCTTTCTTTTGGGGGTGGGAGGGAAAGCAGGTGGGGTGTTGGGGGCTTGAGCCCATGACGCCCCAGGGCTTTTGCCCTCCAGCTGGCCTGGATCCTCACTTTGCACATGCTGTTCCACTGCCTGGAACAATCTTCCTCCAAAAGCCTGTACCTCAAAAGTCCCCAAAGTTCAGTTCTCACCCACACCCCCCAACCCTCAGTCCCTTGTCTGTCCTGCCAAGCCCCCTGCCACCATCCACTTAGGAGCGGCGTTGCGATTGTGTCTCACCTCACGTGGCTTGCTCTGCCTCCAAAACAGATCTTGAATCTTACCACTGCCCTTTGTCCCCACGGCCTCTGTCCTGATGGAGGTCCCCATCACCTGTGGCCCTAACACCTGCCCTGGCCTCCTCCCTGTCCTCTCTCCACACCATCCCCCAACAGGCAGCAGCCAGAAGGTGCCTGTGAACACCTTGGTCAAGTCGGGTTGCTCTGCTCAGAAGCCTGAGCAGAGGCTTAAATCCTGGCAGCTCACCAGGCCACTGCACTATCTGCCTGTCACCTCCCTGCCCCCATCCCACTCCCCCTCTTGTCCACTCCTTCCAGCCCCACTCCATCTGTGCTGATCCCTGAGCACTGGAAATTTCTATCGGTGTGGCCTTAGGCAACTTAGCCTCAGTGTCCCCCTGTGTGCAGTGAAAGTAGTGTTGGTCCCTTCCTCCCAGGGCTGTTGTGATGATGCTTCAGGCAAACACAGTACCTGGCATGAGCACAAACAAAATCTGGACCTTGGTGCTCTGCCTGGGACATTTCCCTGGAAGTGGGGATCCCTTAAAAGGCATGAAATATTTCCGCTGCAGGAAAGGGCTTAATCATACAATAGGGCTGGCTGATTAGTCAGTTGGTTAGAGGGTGGTGCTGGTAACACCAAGATCAAGGGTTCAGTTCCCTATACCGGGCAACCACCAAAAAAATAAATAGTACAATAAACTCTCAGGTACACATCAGTTCAAGACATGAAATATCTCTGATCCAGTGGAGCCCTCTGCCCACCCCTCCTGGGGTGCACATCCTATGGTGGCTGCTTGTCACTCAGACCACAGCTCAGTGCCACCTCCTCCCAGAGGCCCTCTTGACTTGCCTTCTGAGTCATGCCCAGCCACCCAGCCTGCCTCACCTGTCCATGTGCCCTGCTTTGCCAGCCTGTGTATTGTCACCTCCCATGTAGTATGGGTGCACCAGGGCACAAACTGGATCTGGCACACAGTAGGCCCGCAGGAGACCAAAGCATGGGATAAAAGGGCCCACAGGATGCTGTTGTGTCCAAGCTGATTACCACCAGGGGGCAGTGGTGAGCTGCAAATCCAGCGGCAAAAATGCTGTTCCTAGTACTTTGTACATGGCTGAGAGTGGCAGATGCGGGCTGGGGGCCCTGAATAAACCTGATCCACCATGCAGGATCCCCAGCTTCTTTTTGGTCCTTCACTGTGAAAACTTTCAAACAATCAGTATCCCCGATTTTTCCTCTTGCCTTGAGCTCCAATATGGCTTAGTGCTGTTACTGATATCTGCCCTGAAATTTTTGATATTTTATCAAGGATATTTTTGTTTTTTTAATAAAATATTTCATTAAAATACTTACCCTGGTTACTGAGTGTTTTGGGCGCTCTCTTTACTTTTGTGCCTCACCCTAGCGCCGGCCCTGGTAGAGGCACAGGATTTTTATTTATTATTATTTTTTAAGATGACCAGTAAGGGGATCTTAACCCTTGACTTGGTGTTATCAGCACCACACTCTCCCAAGTGAGCTAACCGGCCATCCCTATATAGGGATCCGAACCCGTGGCCTTGGTGTTCCCAGCACCACGCTCTCACAAGTGAGCCACGGGAGGGCCCCAGAGGCACAGGGTTTTAAAGCATCCCCACAGTTTGGGGAGGTAACCAGTGTAGTAAACTACTCATCCTCTGCCCACCTAGTTCCCTGCCCCCAACCATAGAAACCAATGTTTTTGTGTGTTTTTTTGGTGGCTGGCCGGTAGTGGGATCCAAACGCTTCACCTTGATGTTATAACACTGCTCTCAGCAACTGAGCTAACCTGCCAGCCCCTGAAACCCATTAACAGTTTCCTGTGATTCCTTCCAGGGTTTTGAAAGCAAATATATTCTTATTCCTCACCTGTTTTTGTGTTGTTGTTGTTGTTTGGTTTTTGTTTTTATTTTGGTGGCTGGCTGGTATAGGAATCTGAACCCATGACCTCTCCCGTATTTTACGCAAAACATAGCACTCTCTACAATCTGTAGTTCATCTTGCTTTTTTTTACTGAGCAAGGTGGCCTGCAAATCTCTTCTTGTCAGTAGCACGTCAGTTTCATCTTTCTCTCTGCACTGCCTAGTGCTCCAGTATGTGCATGTATCATGCGATTATTTCATCAGTCTTTTTTTTTTTTTTTTGGCAGCTGGCCACCAGTCCTTTTTGATTGACACTTGGATAGGACACATTGTTTATCCACTCATCTGCTGATGGGCACTTGGGTTATTCCTATCTTTTAGCTATTGTGAATAATGCTACTGTGAACACTAGTGTGCAAGTCTCTGTTTGACTTTCTACTTTCAATCCTTTTGGGGATATCCTAGGAGTGGAATTGCTGGATCCTATAGTAATCCTATGTCTGACTTTCTCAGAAACTGCCAAACCACAAGCCTATTTTGAATTCAGTAATGAGCTGGGTGTTGGGGGCCCAGAAGTAAAGTGTGGACTTGTCCGTCAAGCTCTTTTGTGCCTTTTGGATTTGGAACCATGTGAGTGAATCACTCATTCAAAGATAAACAATAAAAATTGTTAAAAAAAAAAAAAAATAAAGAAAAGAATAGCGTGATAAGGATGTGTCTTAGAGCCATTGAATCCACAAAACTGAAAACCGCATAAATGTCCATCTATGAAAGAAGGGACAAATAAATTGTGGTCTATTAATTTGTACAATGCTACGATAGAACAGTGCAATTGAGTGAAATAAACAACTTGCATCAATATTGGATGGGATTCAAGAACAATATGGACTTAGCAAGCCGGTTACAGATTCCAGCAGCTGTATAGCAATTACGTAAAGTTCAAGGACAGGTCTTCCTTCAGGGCCTCTGCTTTGCTGTTCCCCCTGCCTGGTACACTCTTCCCTTGGACATCCAGGTGGCTCTCTCCTCAGCTCTCTCAGGTCGAAAAGGTGGTCTCCAACCACCCGATCTCTACTATCCATCAACCATCTGATGTCTACTGTCCATCTCCAGAACTTTTTCATCATCCCAAACTGAAACCCTCTCCCCTGTCTATGAATTTGATGACTCTAGGGACCTCATATAAGGGAAATTGTACAGTATTAGTCTGTTCGTGACTAGCTTATTTCACTTGGCATAATGTCCTCAAGGTTCATCCATGTTGTAGCATGCATCAGAATTTCCTTCTTTTTTACAGCTGTATAATATTCCATTGTATGGATATACCACATTTTATTTATTAATTCATCTCTTGATGGACACTTGGATTGTTTCCACCTTTTGCCTAGGTGATGATTTCATTTATCTCTATGCCTTTTGGGGTGTTTGAAATATTTCATAAGAAAAGAATTCCACAAAATAGACATAATTGTAGTGGAAAGGAATGATCACCAAGAAATATCATTAAATGGAAAATATAGTAGCACTTTCTCTTTGCCAGGCTCCATTCTAAGCTCCATATGTGTATTAACTCACTTGATAGCCCCAATTCACCTCTGAGTTTGGGATTCTGAGTAGCCCCATTTTGCAGAGGAGGAAACTGAGGCACAGAGACGTTAAGGGGCTGCCCAGGATCACACAATGGCCAAGTGGGGATTTGAACTCAGGCTGTCTGGTGCCAGCCTTTGTGCATTTATTTTTTTTTATTTATTTTATTTTTTTTAAAGATGACCGGTAAGGCTATCTCAACCCTTGGCTTGGTGTTGTCAGCACC